GAACCATTTCTGCTGATGTTGCTGTTCGGTCCACTTCCTTGACGTCGGGCTACGCTACCAGTATCAGATCACGTTAACGAGCGATGGTACGAGACACAAAAGATTTATTCACATTTAAATGCTGGAGTGGTCTAACGATAGCCGCTTGTGGTTTTCCAGCCAAATATAAAGAAATCGCCCTATCACGCTTGAATTCCATCACGAACATCTTCTTTTCTGGAAAATTCTCACCAGAATGCTCTTGTACGCTTGTAAATAATATAAAAATCTGTCACTGGAATAATTGTAACAGCTGTCGGACGAGTGGCTTAGAAATGACAGCAGTCTGAAGTTGGTTGCAGTTTTTTTTTTTTGTATCCCACCCTGTATAACATAGAAATTTTACAGCATCGGAACCATGTATTTTAAAATTTATTTTAATTTTTGTAAACAATTATGTTGTCCAAAATGTGTAATTAAAGCTAATTTTTCAAGAAGTGAATGAATAATACATAGACATTGATTGGTTGGTTATTAAAAAAAACGAAGATAAATTGGCCGCTTGTGCTATTACACCTTCTTCCTCAGCTTTGTTTTACATACAATATATTTCCTCTGCTGCATATAACCGGCATTTTGTTTTACATTTTTCTTCTAATCATCTTCGGTTCCCACTCTGTATTTCCTGTAATCTCCCGCATAACCCGCACATACCAAAAGCCAGATGCGATTAATCAATCAATAACAAAAGAAAACAATTAAATTTTCTTGTAATTGCGATTGTGTGAATCTTTCGGTGTAATGCATAGATGCCCAGTAGTGGCTGATTTCAGCAATTTCAACTCACACGTATTCTTACGCTCTTTTGTTTGATCGCCAATCAACCAATAGGAAAGCAGAAATATGAGTGGGAGAGACAAGCTACACAGGCAGAAATTCTGTGTAATATTTACATTTAATCGTAATCGAGACTGCTGTTAGTGAACACATAAACTGAAAATTATTGCGATATGTCAATGATGTCATTTCAAAAGCATTTTATGCTATAAAATGCTTTTGATGATATGCAATGTGTTATATGTTATAAGACATTTAAAAAAATAAGAAATATAATAAAAAAACATTTTGAAACTGTTCATAAAGACATGAATTGTTTGCAGGGGAAGAAAAAGAAAAACGATTTAAAATGTATAAGAAACTTTTTATAAAAAAGTTGAAGGAATGGGTAAATCAATATAGAGATAATGATGAAGATATGGTGGAGGAGAATTTAAAAATGGGTTTATCTAACTTAATAAGTTTATATATTATAAAAAAGGGAAGGCCATTTTCAGATGGGCCGTTTGTCAAAAATATGTTGTGTCAAGTTTTTGAAAAACTTAATTTTAACACTAATTTTATTAAAAAATTACCTTTGTCCCGCAATAGTATAACCCGGCGATCCCTGTACATTCATTAATTTTACATTTCCCAGAAAAAGCAAAAAATTGCGACACCCGCCACACATGTGCTTTCGTCGCTATCTCGTTGACGACTAAATAAAATGAATAGAAAAATATTTTCTTCCAGTGTTATTTCGTCGCTCTCACCAATACTATTACATTGGGCATCTATGGTGTAATGATTTATGTTTACATTCCTATCCATCTCTCTCTTAACAGCTCTCTCTCCCTTTCTCCACTACCTCAGTGAGCTGAGGTGTTGAATCATTCACCTGCACAACAAAGAGAAGGAAATACATTAAATCTCTTACCATATAAACGAGCCACCATTTCGCAAGGAATGCATGTATGTGTTTGTTTGTTTGTGTATTTATTGCATAGCAACATGTCTAGATTTGCTTTACAAGTGTTAATTTGTGTGTTGAGTGTTGGCAGAATTATATTCTCATTTTGTCGTCATCAATCATGCGTCAAGGTGCGGGATCAGTAACAGCAAAATCACAGGGCTTGGAATGGAATGTAATGTATATGTGTGTGTGTGTGTTATATTTTGATTTCATTCTCATAACATATGCCCTTTTTTTGTTACTGTTGTTCTTGGTAAGTGGGGAAAACAGACAGACAGAGTTAAGATGATACGCATTACTACTCTTATTGTGAAAAGATTTAAAGATGATACTCTAATGGGAGGTGGGAGAGTGAGAGGAATTGAAAAGGCTTTTTGTTGGAGTTGTAGTTAAGGGGAACTAATTTATTTGGTAGTAGGTTTTTAAAGGGGAATAACTGTTTTCTTTGGAGAAGTGACATTTTAATGTTAGTTGTTGAGTAAAGAAGAGATTTTTAAGAGAAATCTAATAATTAGGGTTTTAATGCTTAATTTTAGATTCTTTAATATAATAGTACAGTCTAATATTGTCATTGAAACTACCAATTAATATAAACAAACACAAAACCAGATAGACATTTTCATTTTGGTCCTACATATCCCATTTTTATCCTAGATATAAAGTTAATATTCTTTTGGCAATTTTCGAATTTTAAGGAGATTTGGGGGAGGTATTTCGCATTTTATGAGATTTATGAGGGTAAAATATTTTGCTTCTTTGTGGGGGAGATATTAGAAGAAGTGGACCGTCATATCTTCATGGGAGATTAAATGCTGTTTAAGTTTAAAGAAAATCGGAAAATGATTTCACATTTTTTGAGAGTATTTGGTCAGTAATTTTTTATACCCTCAGCCATAATGGCTAAAGAGGGTATATATCATTTGAACGACCAAAACGTGCCTCATCGAAATTACGGTTTTAGACCCTAGGTCTCTTTGGACCAAATCGGTTTCAGAATATTTGGAGTCGATCTAGCGATCGATCGTATGTCTGTCTGTCTATCTGGCTGGTGCGTACGATAACTTTCGAAGGGAGCAACCGATCTGATCCAAACCTAATGCATCGAAATATTATTGTCAAACTTAGATCAAGTTCGGAGATGGGTAATATCGGTCCACTCCTTCTGGTGCCTTTCACACAAAATGTCAAGATTTTCAAAGAAAATCATTAACGGCACAGAAAGAGAAGGGATAATCCGATTTTGCTCCAACTTTGCACTTCCCAATATCTGCATCAGTGCTAGCCCAGGAGCGAAAATGGAGTGGACCGATACACTCCTTCAAGTACATACCCCACAAAAGCTCATAATTTGGAATAATTTTAACTCTTATAAAATATGATATAAGAGTCCGATTGTCTTCAAATTACACGCATTATAATATTTTTATTAACCCAAGGTCTGGTGTGAAAATGGAATATATCGGCCCACTACTTCTGGTACATCCCCCACAAAGGGCCAAAAATTTTGAATATTCATGAAGCTCATTAAGCGCGAAAATAACATCCGATTCAAGTCAGGCTTAGCACATGTAAATATTTCCATCAACACAAGATCTGTTATAAAGATGGTAAGGATCGGACCATTCCTTGTGGTACCTCCCACACAAACGGTCAAAATTTTAAATAACCAAAACTATCATAAAATCCGAAATAAGCATCCGGTTCCCTTTTAATTACACACATCACAATATATTTATTAACCCAAGGTCTGGTGTGAAGATGGGATATATCGGTTCATTCTTTCAAGTACCTCTCCCCAAAAGGGTCAACATTTTGAATATCCATGAAACTCATAAAACGTAATAGTAACATCCGATTCCATTCAGACTTGGTACATCTCAATATCCCATAGATGGTAGAGATCGGACCATTTCTTCTGGTAGGGTTCAAGATTGTAAAAAAAAACAAAACGCTTAAGAAAGCGAAATGAGCACCCAGTCGATGATTTAGAGAAGCTACGAAGAATTTTTTTGGTAAGTCAGTCAGAAAATTGCGAGAACATAAAAGTTAAAAAGATTTTTTTACTACACTTAATGTTTTTCAATTGGTTCCATATTCACAATTTTGGAACCATTATAAAATCTTCTTTTGGAACAAACATGCTGATTTTTTCATACAGTAAATGATTATTATTAAACTATAAATATAACATTTGCAAACTTCCGCAAATTCTCGAAAACCAGGGGAGATATCAGCAAATAGACCAAAAATTCTGAAAGCGCATACCCTAAAACCTTAGAAATGATATACATATCAATATGTCCATAAAATACCGTATGGAACACTTAGGCAGGACACCGAAGAGGACAAAAGACAATATGTAGGAGAATATCTGAATTTAATACAGGTTGAGTCAAAAGATAACACTCTTGCTCTCAGTGACTATAAATTCTCTCCCAGAGTCACACATAAATGAATATACGACGAAATAAATGTATGACTCTCAGCCTCTCGCCGATTGAATAACAATGCAGATACATAGAAGTTTTTTTTACCAGCTTAAATGATCGGCTGGCTTCATCTTAAAATAATAGAGGAGTTTTAGGTTGACTTTTAGTTCAATTTCGGCTAATATTTTATATTATTTATACACCCTACACTACTTTGTTCTTTTACGAAGAAGCCAGTCGATGATTTAAGCCAGTAAAAAAGAGTTTTATGCAATTTCACCTTAAAGGCATTCGGTGGAAAAATATTTGCATTTAATCAGCACTGCTCAAAACCATGAGTCCGCAAAAGAGAACATTAAAGAGAAAATTACTATTAATTACTAATATTTTTTTAAATTCTTTTTTTTAATTATGAAGTTGATTCAAAGGTATTAATGATGCTAATAATTAAAAATAAAGAAATAAATAATGTTTTAATACTGACTTATTTATGCAAAGAGAAATTGTCTGGTGAGCGGGCCTTTGTTCTTGAACAGTGCTCGATTTAATACAGCTAAAGGAAAGTGATAATACGTGTGCTCTCAGTGCCTTTAATTCTCTTACATTAAACCGTTGATAAAACATAGACCCACACATTAACAAATACACGTGAAGAAGTAAGAGAACGACTCTCTTCCTCTCGTTGATTTAATAACATCCATTCATACCAAAACACATGTTGGGAGTTATTTTCTCTTTCTCTCTTTTTTTAATTCATTTTTTCTCTTTAAATTTATTTGTTTTTTTTTTTCGTATTATCCTGTTTAAATTTACACATTAAATATGAGATACAAGACAAATATTTAAAATATTACAGAAATATCTTTAAGATTTGTGTAGTGTTTTTTTCGTCTCCTTCTTCATCCGCTTCATCTTTATTACACTTAACATAATTTTCCTGTTTATAAATGTATATAATTGTGTATGTCTGGGGCGTGGAGTGTAAACATTGAAAATACTTTTAATTTATCTTTACAACAAAAAGAAAAAACAGGGAAATAATGGTACAACTTTTTACAACAAAGTCTTTGAGATAAGTTTTCGAATAATAAAAAAAAAAAAACCAAATACAGGAAATATGACACCAAGGTGGGTTGAAGGGAGGGAGGAAGGGAGGCAACATAAAAATCACTGTCATCACCAAGAGTGTCATTATTTACACATACATACATACATACATACATACAACAGTCTGGTCAGGGTAAACAAGGCAATCTTCTCCTTTTTTCCCTTTCCCTTCCCTTACTTCATATTTTCATATTTTGTTTTTTTAATTTTCCTCCTTCTTCTCTCTCTCTCTTTTTTTTGATACTGTACAATTATCTTGAATTAGAATACTTGAAGTTACTTCTCTTCATTTTCCACTAATAACAGAAAGATATACAACAACAAATAAAAACAAATATAAATACAAATACAAATACTTAAATATGTAATACTGTTGGTTATCATGTTACGGGGATCATCCAAGTCCCCCGGGAATGTTCCCAAAAAAATATTTTCTTTTTTTCTTTGGTTTTTGATATAAAAATGGAATTTTGATGGACGCCATGGAGCATGGGCTGTCATCAACTCAGAGCTCATTTATTTTTATTTTATTTTGCAAATTCAATTCTGCTTCGTTTTGTTTATTTCTCTCTGTACAATAATAATAACAAAGACCGCACAACACTTAGTGTTCATTTTAGGTTCTCTTTTTTTTTTTTGCCTTCTTCCTTTCCAATCTGGCCTTAATGACGTTGTGTGTTGTTTTTGTTGTTGGACACAAAGGACAAAATTTGACAAAAATAGTTGTTGGTTGTTGTTTTTGTAACAGTTTAGAGTTCGGTATCGGTCTGTAGGACCACAGTCATGGTGCCTCACCTTTTGTCACCGCTCAGTATCACCCCACTCTGGACCAAAGCAGTTGGTGGTGTGGCCGACAATCGTGCCTCGGCATTGTTGTGTTGCTGTTGCTGCTGCTGATGATGATGATGCATCGATGCCTGCCTTCGATAGCTGTTACTGGCCAAACGTCCCCCATGCTGGCCATTGGAGCCATTCACCGCACACGAATTGGTATTATTCAAATGTACCGAGGCCCGATTGTAGTTGTTGGTGGAACGCATCGACATATTCACAATGCTGGTGTCCATCATCCCAGTGGCGGTGGAATGCTGACGTATGCGTGTCTGTCGCTTGACACACCAACAGCACAGGTATTGATTGAAATGGGCCCGAAATGCTCCAGATACGCAGTACAATGCCACCGGATTGACACAGGAATTGAGGAAGCTAGAAATGGATGGATGGTGTGAATAATGGTAATGAGCGAGAAGAGAAGAGAAGGAAAAAAACAAAAAGAAGAGAAAAAAAATGTTGGAATTAAACATAAACAGGTAGCAAGTCAAACAAAGCATTAATAAGCATGCTACACTGGATTACAGAAAAAGTGAGGGGGAAATTACACTGTGCAACAATATTTTATTTAAAAAAACCAGAAAGTCCAGCAAATTATGAAAGTAGAGTTAAAAAATACTCGTGCAGCAGTGTTTTGAAAGTTTACATTGCAAACTAATCTAAATAGAGGGTGGGGGGTGGTGGTTCCCCCTCTTTCGGATTTTTTTTTGAATTTTTTTGGATTACATTTCCTTGGAATCCTTACATTCTAGGTTTATACTGTCTTTGGCAATATTGCAGATAAAAATGCGAGGAATATTTCGGTCAATAATTTTAACCCTCAAATATGATTAAGAACTCCCATAAAACAGTCAAAATATTCTACAAAATTATTAGCATAAAAAAATGTCTAAATCTTACCTACAGGGTGAGATAAAAAAACTGCAACAAAGTCAAACGCCATAATTTTTACTTTTTTTTTTTTTAAATTTTATTGAACGACAGCAAAAAATGTCGAAAATAGCATCAAATTTTAGAATAAGTTTAGATTTGTTCGAATTGGTCACCTTTGGCACGAATTATGGCGTTCAAACGGCCAATGAAACCGTCACATGCTGAATGTTGCTCTGCGGTATTTTCGCCCATTCCCAGCGTAGCACTTGCTTGAGGCGATCAACACTTTGGTATTTTTTAGTGCCAACCTTGCTTTCCAAAAAAACTCCAGACACAATAGTCCAATGGATTGGTATCCGGAGATTTTGGTGGGCATTGTGAGCTGGAAATGAAGCGGGGAACCTCATTTTGCAGTCATTCTCGGGTGGCGGTGGCTCGCTGAGTGCGATGGTGCTGAGTCATGTTGGAATGTCCAAGGTCTGCGGCCAAAATGTTTGCGTGCACAAATATTTTCGCGATAATATTCGGCATTTATTCTGATGCCACGGTCAATTAATACGAGCGGAGAGCTACCATCGGCTGTTATGGCGCTCCCACACCATCACCATCTCCATGGCCGGCGCTTGAGTTCTGGTGGCCAACCGAAGGTGTACATTTTCAGCTGACCTCTTTGACAAGTAAACACGAGCGGATCATTTTGTTTGTTTCCAAACTAAACAACTCCTGGACAACGAATGTTTTCTCATCGTAGACCACCAAACCAAATTCGGTACCTAACCACTTTCGGCCAAGCGAAGCAATTATGTACCTCTTTTGAATTTTTTAGATTTTCAATGGCTTTACCCCGAGCTCATTTTTCAATATTTGCCGAATGGAATATTGCGATATGTTCAGCTCACGAGTAATTTTTTCGGCCACTGCGACGTGGGTTTCGATCAAGTCGCTTCTTTATTTTTTGAACCATTTCTGCTGATGTTGCTGTTTTCTTCCCTTCACTTCCTTGACGTCGGGCTACTCTACCAATATCACGGCAACGAGCGATGGCTGAAGTGCTCTAACGATAGCCACTTGTTGTTGGTTTTCCAGCTAAATATAAAGAAATCGCACTATCACGCTTGAGTTCCATCACGAATATCTTTTTTTCTGGAATATTCTCACCAAAACGCTTTTGTACACTTGTAAACAATATAATGAGCTGTAACTGGAATAATTTTAACAGCCGTCGGACGAGTGGCTTACAAATGACAACAGTCTGAATTTGGTTGCAGTTTTTTCATTTCACCCCTGTTTGCATTACTGGCGTTTAGGTGAGATTTAAACTCTTGACGTGTTCTGGGACCTATAGTGGAATTTTATGACAAACAATATTCGGACTTGATGCGATGTCTTTTAAATTAAGTTTTTAACAATAATTTAAAAAAAGTACCAAAAAGACCCCTTTTGTTGAATCGCTTGAGGGTTAAAATGTCTTACAGAAATATTCCTTGTATTCTTATCTACAATATCACTAAAGACAATATATACCTAAAATCAACGGATTCCAAGGAATATTAATTCCAAAATTTCAAAAAAAAGTGAAAGAGGGTGTTGACTTACCCCTTCACTTTTTAGGTCACTTTGGGATGTTAACTTTCAAAACGGCGATACATGTGTTTTTTGACTTTCATAATTTGCTGGATTTTTTTGTATTTTGTTTTTGTGTTGCCCAGTGTAATTGGACTTAATATTACGGGAGTAAACCTAATCCGATATTGGTCTAGCTCAAATTGGGAAATTTTTTTTTGTTCGAAATTTTTTTTTTTTTTTTTATAAAAATACTTAAGTTTCGCTGGAATTAACATTTAAACATAAATTTTGAAAATAGTCTCCAAAGGTTGAATTTTTAATTTAAAATTTTTTTTTCAAAATAATTGATTTTTTAGAAACTTGAAATTGTATATCTGTAGCCCAGTGTTCATTTATATTTCCCTCTACAAAGCTAATCATTTGTTTCCGAAAATGTGTTGTGTATTTTCTTTCACCGAACAACGCCCTACTACCCCCACCCCCTTCGCTAGCCAGCTCAGCCACCCCATTAGACAGTCCATTCAAGGTGAGTTGTTGGCCAATGAATGTTGTGAATGACGGCGATTGAAAGACATGGCATGTCCATGGATGATAACAAGGCTTCCTCCAATGATGGCCTAAATTTACGTTAATTTGGTGGCCTGTGATTTGGAAGGTAGACCTTCATGGATTAGTAAAATCATTCAATGTGATGCCATTCGTTTACGTTATGTTTGAATGATTTAATAATACTTAATTAACAAAACAATGCTGGGCTACAAAAACATCATACACAACAACAACTACAACAAATAATAACAACAACAATATGTCCAATACTTACTACGTGCAGAAGCCAATAATCCGAATGGTATGCCAGAAATCATCGAAATCCTCTCGGCTGGTTGGATTCAAGTGGAACCATAATTCAAACAAATGATAGGGAAAGAAACAAATAAAAAACACTGCAACGATACAAGAGAGAGAGAGAGTGAGAGATGGGAGAGAGAAAGGGGAGAGAGAAAAAAGGAGACAAGTCAAGATAAGAAATGTTGCTGTTAAATGTTTTTTATTTTTCACTTCAAGAGATAAACTAAGGCTAGACATCAATAACTATCATCGTCAATTCAGGGGGTATCATCAACAGCAGCCATGGCCATGAAATGGTTAGATGGATGGACGGATGGCTGGATGGATAGCTGAGATATGTCAAGACATCAAATGATGATGATGCTGATGGTCCCAAACAAATGCTGTCATTGACATGGCGGTAACACTTAATGTCAAAAATTTGTGGTTTTCCTTTTTGGTCTCATTTTTTGGTCACAGTGGTTGATGTCTTGACTGTCAGTCACAAACAGCATTCGACGCCATCATCGTCATCATCATTAACCACCATCATCACCGTTTATCGTCTGTGCGGGAGCAACGCCATATTCCATATCAACTTCATCTTTTTCACTTACCCACCACAAATGCCACTACCATGCGGGCCACATAGCGTCGTGCCCGAACCTGGGAACGACTTTGCATGCTCAAGGTTTCGCCGGGCATTTCACGGGCGCTGACATGCAAACGCTGTGCCATCATCAGATACAGAACTCCAATTATGAACAGTGGCAGAATGTAGTAGACAAAGGCCTTTGTCACCACCACATATCTGAAAGAGAGAGAGAGAGAGAGAGAGGGGAGCGAGAGGATGGTGAAATTGGACAGTTGGACACAACAAATTGCCGCAATGGGAATAAATAAAGCAATAAAAACAACAACAAATAATATTTTTGAATGAAAAAAAATATTTTTGTTTGAATGGAGTAGAATAAGGCGGGTAATGTATCAAAAACGTAATTTGTAATATTTACTTGTAATATATCAATTTTCGAATGAGATTTTCTTTAAAAGTATTATACCTCGATATATGACTTATTCTGAGATTTTTAGTGAAATTTTGTTGAGAATATTTCATCCCTTAATATTTTCTATCTAAAATGAAATTTTAGGGTACTTTTATGCATCAGCTCGAACAGAAGAGAAATGGACAGAAAAGAAATGGATGAAAAATTAGGAAATATTTTCGGTTTTTTGGCAACATTGAAACAAATATTTTCTTTGTATACCGTGGAAATAGATATTGCTTGTCTTTGGTGACCTATAGTGAAATTTGATCTAGAATATTTCCTCCCTTGACACTTTCCCCAAAAAACTAAGTACTAAAGAATATTTGGACTCAGAATGGAAAGGCATAAAATTAACAGTCATAAGAATAATCACATAACGATTACATTTAATGTATAAATTCGAATATAGTTTCCTTAAAAACTATTATAGCTAGAAATATAGTTTATTCTGAGACTTATGAGGAAATTTGGCGTAGAATATTTCTTCCTTTGGGAGTCTTTGTCTAAAATGAAATTCTATGCTTCTTTCACGCATCAACTCGAAAAAAGGACGAGGAAAAATTTATCGAAACAATTTGGATCTTTTTTTTTATGACAATGTTAATGCAAAAATTTTCGTAGTATATAATGGAAATAGAGATTCCTTTTCTTTGGTGACCTATAGTGAAATTTGATATAGAATATTTCTTACTTTGATAGTTTTCCCAAAAAATAAGTATTATGGAAGATTTGGACTTAGAATGGAAAGGCATAAAATTAACAGTCATTAGAGTAATCACGTAATGTTTACTTTTAATGTAAAAATTCGAATATAGTTTCCTTACAAACTATTATAGCTAGAAATATAGTTTATTCTGAGACTTATAAGGAAATTTGGCGTAGAATATTTTTTCTTCTGGGAGTCTTTGTCTAAAATTAAATTTTGTGTTTCTTTCATACATCAACTCGAATAAAGACGGAAGAAAAATTCATCGAAAAAATTAGGATTTTTTTTCGTTTTTTTTTTTATGACAATGTTGATGTAAATATTTTCTTTATATATCATTTAAATAGAGATTTGCTTTCTTTGGTGACCTATAGTGAAATTTAATATAGAATATTTCTTCCTTTTATACTTTCCTCAAAAAATTAAGTGTTAAGGAAGAATTGGACTCAGAATGGAAAGGCATACAATTAATAACTAAAAACGTAATTATATAATATCTTTTACTATAAAATTTCATAATTTTTTTTCTTAAAAACCATTATAGAAAGAGATATAATTTATTCTGAGATTTTTAGCGAAATTTTTTATAAAATATTTTTTCCTTTGATACTTTTTGCCTAAAATGAACTTTTGTGTTACTTTCATGCATCTACTCGAAAAAAGACAAAAAAAAAAAAAAAAGATTTCTTTCCTTCGGCGATTTACAGTGAAATTTGGTCTGGAATATTTTTGTCTTTGACATTTTCCCAAAAAAAACCTAACTATTATAGAAGATTCGGACCGAGATTAGAATTTAGAGTCAATAACGCAATCATATTATGTTCACATTTAAAATGCAAATTTCGAAATTAATTTTCTTAAAAACTGTTGTAGTCAACAAGTCATACTTGTTCTGAGATTTGTAGTAGAATTTTGTGTAGAATAGTTCTTCTTTTAACAATTTTTGTCTAAAATGAACTTTTATGGAATTTTTGTGCTTTAACTCGAAAAAAGGCCAATGAAAAATTGACTCAAAAAATATTTTGGTGTTTTTTTTTGTCAATATTGATGCAAGTATTTTCTGTGTATATATGAAATGAAAATAGAGACTTCCTGTTTTTGGTAACCTATAGTGAAATTTGATCTAGAAAATTTTTGCCTTTAACAGTTTTTCTAAAAAATTAAGTATTAAAGGAGATTTGCACTCAGATCGACAACGCTTGCAATTAACAGCCAAAATTGTCATCACACAATTAATATGCAGAAATCGATCTAATTTTCTTAAAAACCCTTAAAGCTAGCAATATAGTTCATTTAGAAACTAATAGTGAAATTGTATGTAAAATATGTCTCCCTTTGCAACTTTTTGCCTAAAACGAACTTTTATTTTACTTTAATGCATCAAATCGAAAAAAGTCCGTAAAACATTTGATAAAAAAAAATAGGAAATATTTTTTTTTGGCAACATTGACGCAAATATTTTCATGATATATAATGGAAATAGAGTTTTCCTGTTTTTGGTGACCTATAGTGAAATTTGATCTAGAATATTTTTGTCTTTCACACTATCCGCAAAAAGTGAAGTATTAAGGGAGATTATGCCTTAGAATGCAAACATATTAAGTTTGCTGCAAAAAAAAAAAAAAAAACACGTCAACACATAATAATTTCACTTGTAATATACAAATTTCGAATCTAATTTTCTTACAAACCATTAAAGCTAGCAATATATTTTATTTGGAGACTTATAGTGAAATTCTGTGTAGAATATTTCTCCCTTTTATACTTTCTGTCTAAAATGTAATTTTACGTTACTTTCATGCATCAACTCGAAAAAGGTCCGTGGAAATTTTGATAAAAAAAAAGGAATTTTTTTCGCGTTGTTTTGGGAATTTTGATGGAAATAATTTTCATTTTCCAATAGGAATGGAGGTTACTGTTCTTTTGTGACTTATAGTGAAATTTGATGAAGAATAATTTTGTCTCCGACATTATCCTTTAAAAATGAAGTCTTGTAGGAGAATTCTGCATAAACTCACATTAAGTACGGTTTTAACCCTATGTTTTTACCCATGTGTTTTTATTTTTTTTTCAATTGCTAGTGTTTAGGTTAGATTTAGGTTTTTGTTCTCTTCTGTGACCTATGGTAGAATTTTATGGAAAATAATATAGCGGAGTATTTTGACTTGTTCGATCCCGTTAAAAACGAGTTTTTACCTACATTTTAAAAAAAGTACCAAAAAGACCCCTTTTGGTAACATGCTTAAGGGTTAAAATTGTTGTTGGCAAAATTGTTATCTATAATATTGCCAAAAACACTATATACGTAAGACGAAGAAAACCGAACAGGAGAGGACTTGCCTTCTTAATTGGGCTTCAATTTGAAGCTCTACTTTCAAAATCTGCTGATATATTTTTTTAATTATTGAAAAAATTGATTTTTTTCACACAGCGTAATCATCGATGATTTCTATGCTAGTCCTATAGATGGCGCCCAATGGTTCATAAAAATATATGTTTTTTATTTTTTAAAAAATTATCTTAAGTTTCCAAGGAATCTTAATCCGAATATTTCCAAAAAATTTAGAGGGGGCCGGTATTTCCCTGTCTATTAAGGAACTTTGCAATGTAAACCTTCATAACGCCAATACATTTGTCCTCTATTTTGAGCTCTACTTTCAAAATCAGCTGATATATATTTTTTTTAATGATTGAAAAAATTAATTTTTTTCACACAGCGTAATCTACGTCATTTTCTCTACTAGTGCTACAGATGGCGCCCAATGGTCCCTAATTTTTTTTATAAAATTTCTAAATTTTCCAAAGAATCGTAATCTGAAGTTTTTCAAAATTTGTAGAAGAAATCGGACTTGCCTCCTCAATTTAGGTTACTTTGCAATGTGAACCTTCAAAACGCCAATACACTTGTCTTCTATTTCTAGCTCTACCTTCAAAATCTGCTGATTTATTTGTTTAATTATTGAAAAAATTGATTTTTTTTTTACACAGCGTAATCTACTATGATTTCTCTGCTAGTGCTACAGATGGCGCCAAATGTTCCCTAAAAATATATTTTTATAAAAACTCTAAAGTTTTCAAGGAATCCTAATCCGAAAATTTCCAAAATTTTTAGAGGGGACCGGCATTTCCATCTGAATTTAGGTAACTTTGCAATGTAAACCTTGAAAACGCCAATACAAATGTCTTCCAGTTCTAGTTCTACTTTCAAAATCTGCTGACATATTTTTTTAATGATTGAAAAAATTGATTTGTTTCACACAGCTTAATCTACCATGATATCTTAACGAGTCTTATATATGGCGCCCAATGGTCCCTAAAAATATATTTTTATTTTTTTTAATAAAATTCTTAAGTTTCCAAGAAAGCCTAATTCAAAAATTTGTCTCTCTCAATTTAGGTAACTTTGCATGTAAACTTTCAAATCGCCAATACACTTTTCTTTTAGTTCTAGCTCTATTTTCCAAATCTGGGAATATATATATTTTTTGAAAACATTGAATTATTCGCACAGTTTAACCTACGATGATTTCTCAATGAGTCCTATAGATGGCGCCCAATAGTCCCTAAAAATATATTTTTAATTTTTTTTATAAAAACACTAAAGTTTCCAAGGAATCCTAATCCGAAAATTTCCACTACAAAAAAATTTTTTTTCGCTCCGCGTAATCTGCGATGACTTCTCTGCTTGTGCTACAGATGGCGCCCAATGGACCCTAAAAATATATATTTTTTAATTTTTTATAAAATCTCTGAAATTTTGGCCCTTTAGTTGGCTCTGATGGTCCTTTCAAATATCTCTTTACTTTTTTTTATAAAATCTCCTAAATTTTTGGCTAAATTGACTCTTAAAATGGACCTATGAACCCAATATCTCGTCGTGCTTAATGCTCTTAATACCCCCTCTCATATTCGAATTCATTCCTTGGCTATCACACCCAAACATACATGTGCTTCATACCATTATTTGGAGGACAATTTACAGTGTAAAACAAATTGCGTGCATTTTTTCTAGTAGCTGTTGTTGTTGTTGTTGTGGTTTCTTTTTGATATTATTTGTCTACGAAATGCTGTTATATAACACACAGAGAGAAAAAATACTATATTCTGCTGCTGCTGGTGCCGTAGTTAATAATAGAGCTCATAATTCTTTTGGTGTGTGTTCTGTTTTGATTTCTAAAGATAAGGCACGCAATTTGGGTTGCTTGGCAAGAGAATATTCAAAAAATGAAGAAAAAACGAAAATCCAAATAAATGAAATATTTTTAATTAAAAAACCACTTAACAATAAGTTTTGATTGCCAAAACGATTTTCAATATTTCTGGGGGAGTTTTTTTTTTGAGGTATTTAAATTTAAAAGGAAATGTTATAAAATATTTATTTATGGTCGACCATTTAATTTCGAATATTAATGGCGGCTCTGGAGGAAATAATGTTCACTCACCTTGTGTAGACTTCCAGGTTCTTGCGTTCCTCCCCAAACGGCGAACAGACAATTATTGTCAAATTTGTGCTGATGTCGATGTACTGCAGACTAGACATCACCAGCGAGGGGGTGGCAAAGATAATGGCCAAAAGCCAGATCATTGTGGCCGTAATGACTGTCAGGGGTTTTGTCTGCAATGAAAGAAGGGGTGGAAGGAGAGGAGGAGGGTAGGGTAGGATGGATTAGAGTCAGTTATAATTGCAATCAACTGATGGTGATGATGAGGATGCCATTCTTTTCGCTGGATGATGACTTACCTGCAATTTACGCAATGGATTGACAATGGCACAATATCTCTCACCCGACAAGGCTGTCAGCGTGAACACGGACACACCAATCGATACATCCTTGAAGAATTCCGTTATCTGACACATACTCTTGCCAAATGTCCAACTGTCCTGGGTGTAAACGAGAATGGCCAGTGGAACGCAAACGATTATAACTAAGAGATCGGCCAAGGCCAAAGAGAGAATGTAACTGAAAAGGGGAAAGGGGGGAGGAAAAATTATATTTTAAATTATTAAAGATCCATGGAAGTTATTTCTATATATACAGGGTGAGATAAAAAACAGCAAACTCCATAATTTAAACTTTTTTTTTAATTTTATTGAATGAAAGCAAAAAATATCGGAAATAGCATCAAATTTTAGAATAAGTTAAGATTTGTTCGAATTGGTCACCTTTGGCACGAATTATGGCCTTCAAACGGCCAATGAAACCGTCATACGCTGCTCTCCGGTATTTTGGCCCATTTCCGGCGAAGAGCTTGCTTGAGGTGATCGATAATGTGGCCTTCAAACGGCTAATGAAACCGTCACACGCTGCCCGAATGTTGCTCTGCGGTAATTTGGTCCATCACCGGCGAATCACTTGCTTGAGGTGATCGACACTTTGGTATTTTTTAGTGCCAACCTTGCTTTCCAAAATACTACAGACACAATAGGCCAACGGATTGGTATCCGTGGATTTTGTTAGCCATTGAGAGCTGGAAATGAGACTGGAACCTCTTTTTGTAACCATCCTTGGGTGGCGAGTGCTGAATGCGATGGTGCTGTGTCCTGTTGGAATGTCCAGGGTTTACGACCAAAATTTTTGACTGCCCAAGGCTTTAATATACCCTCCAGAATATTTTCGCGATAATATTCGGCATTTATTCTGATGCCACGGTCGATAAATACGAGCGGAGAGCGACCGTCGGCTGTTATGGCGGCCCACACCCGCATCCACACCGGTGGCTGGTGGCCAACCGCAAACCGAAGATGCACATTTTCAGCTGACCTCTTTGGCAAATAAACATGAGCGGATCATTTTGTTTGTTTAAAAACTGCTGCTGGACAACGAATGTTTTCTCATCGGAGAAACCCAAATTCGGCAGTTCACCACTTTCGGCAAGGCGAAGCAACTCTTCAGCTCTTTTGAGTCTATTTTCTTTCTGTTGCGGTGTAAGTTCTTGCACTTTTTAGCATTTCAATGACTTTAACCCGAGCTCATTTTTCAATATTTGCCGAATGGAATATTGCGATATGTTTAGCTCACGAGCCATTTTTCGGCCACTGCGATGCGGGTTTTGGATCAAGTCGCTTCTTTATTTTTCGAAAGATTTTTCCTGATGATGCTGTCTTTTTCCGTCTTCCGTCCACAACCATGACGTCGGGCTACGCTACCAGTATAACCGTAACGAGTGATGGTCCGAGACACATAAGTTTATTCACCTTTAATTGCTGAAGTGATGTATTGATAGCCACTTGTGATTGGTGTGGGTGGAGTGCTCTAACGATAGCCACTTCTGGTTGGTTTTCCAGCCAAATTTAAAGAAATCACACTATCCCGCTTTAATTCCATCACGAATAACTTTTTTCCCTGGAAAATTTTCACCAAAATGCTATGGTACGCTTGTGAACTATATAATGAGCTGTCACTGGAATAATTTTAACAGCTGTCGGACGAGTGGCTTAGAAATGACAGCAGTCTGAATTTAGTTGCAGGTTTTCCATCTCACCCTGTATAAAATAACAATTTAAGTACTTGAAACCAATTACATTCCATATTAAATGGATTTCAAAGGAAACTCAATCGACTGCCTTAATTTGCATTCAATTTACTTACTTTACCTACTCTCTCTCTCCCTCACTCTCTCTCAGCCACTCAATTACTCTCCCACATCATTGCCAATGCAAAATGCCAAGTAAATATTTGTTGAATGCTTCCAAAATTCTATGCTAAATAAATATATTTACTACATACTTCCTTTCGGCTTATTTTCGTACAAATAAAAGTAAACATCAACGCAAAAGAAAGGAGAAGAAAGAAAAAGAGACGGAAGACCAAGGGGGAGAATTTTGTGCAATGAACAGGAAATTGATATTCAATCAGAACATTTATTTCCACAAATACTTTTGACTTCTTTCCTGGTATTTTCTAAAATAAACACACACTCACACACACATCCTTACATACATAACTTGTGTGCCACTTCAAAAATATTTTTATTGTAACCACATGAAAATAGCCCTTAAGGGAAATGCTGGAAATGCTTTATTTGCTGAGTAAAAATAAAATGTTTTTTTATTGAAAAGGAAAAGAAAAATTATATTTTCAATTGAATATCCTGGCGATGCATTGAAGGTCGCTCCAAACGATATATTATTGCTGGAAAGTCAAACAGCAAAAAAAAAAACGGGGAGAGAGAGAGGGACAGAGAGAGAGAGAGTGAAAAAACAAATGGCTGTATGACAATTTTTATGATTGATTATGGTATTCCGTTTCCCTTGCCAGGGATAAAGGATGTCCATTTTTACAATGACCATGCGAAGGGTTATTTTGTTTGGGATTGTAGGGCCTTTTCGGCTGAAGAGAGGAAATTACATCTGAAAGAAATTTAATACTTTTCATAAATTGCCTGTCCCACGAAAATTAAGTTATCAATTTAGGACACTCAGAAACGTAGGAAAAAAGAGGATATATATTTCTCAAATGGAGAATATATTTTAATAGCCTTCACCATAAAATGGTTAGTTATTTTGTTAATAACACCTCACAATATTCTTTGGAGACTCCATGAGTTTTTAAATTTGCAGGCAATTGGCAAAAGTGTTTTATTTGTCGAAAAAAATATATTTTTACCAAAATAAAGGATGTTTTTCTATGGTAGATATGAGGTATACAAGTTCCATTTGTTCAGAGACTCAAAATGAAATTTGATGTAGAACAATTCTTTCTTTGACATTTTCCCCAAAAAATGAAGCATTGAGGGAGATTTTGTATTAGAACAGAGGCGTGTCAAATTAGAAGACGACGGAACATAATTTTCACTTGTAAAATACTAAATTTGATTGCAATTTTCTTAAAAACCATTATAGCTAGAAATATGGTTCATTCCGAGTCTTATACTGAAATTTTGTTAAGAATATTTGTTCTATTGACACTTTTGGTCTGAAATGAGTTTTTATGTCACTTTCTAGCATCTACTCAAAGAAAGGCCGGAGAAATTTTGATGAAAAATGAGCAAAAATTTAGGTTATTTGTTAATTTTGATACCAATTTTTCCTTGATATATAGTGAAAATCCAGGTTTCTTTTCTTTGATGACTTATAGCGAAATTCGATCTAGAACAATTATTCCTTTGACACTTTCCCCAAAAAATGGGGCAATAAGGGAAATTTGGTATTAGAACTGAGACGTGTCAAATTGGAAGTAAAAAGACGATGGACACATCATTTTCACTTGGAATATACTAATTTCGAAGGTAATTTTCTTAGAAACCATTATAGTTAGAAATATGACTCATTCCGAAACTTCAAGTAAAATGTGGTGTAGAATATTTCTTCTTTTAATGTTTTCTGTCTAAAATGAATTTTTGTGTCACTTTCTAGCATTTACTCGAAAAAAGGCCGAAGAAAAGTCGTTAAAAAATTTAACACATGTTTTCGCTTTTTTTGGGAACATTGATACTAATATTTCCTTGATATGTAGTGAAAATTCAGATTTCTTTTCTTTGGAGACTTATAGCGAAATTCGAACTAGAACAATTCCTTCTTTTACACTTTCCCCAAAAAATGGGACAATAAGGGAGATTTTTTATTATGACTGAGACGTGTCAAATTGGAAGTGAAAAGACGATAGAAACATAATTTTCACTTGTAATATGCTTAATTCGAAGGTAATTTTCTTAGAAACCATTGGAGTTGAAAATATGCTTTATTCTGAAACTTATAAGGAAATTTGGTGTAGAATATTTCTTCTATTGACATTTTTGGTCTAAAATGTAATTTTATCTTACTTTCATGTATGAACTCGAAAAAAGGCCGAAGAAAAATTGATGAAAAAATGATCAAAAATTTAGGTGGTTTGTTAATTTTGATACTAATATTTTCTTGATATACTGGAAATTCCGATTCCTTTTCTTGGGTGACTTATAGCGAAATTAGATCTACAACAATTCTTCCTTTGACACTTTCTCCAAAAATTGGGGCAATAAGGGAGATTTTGTATTAAAACTGAGGCGTGTCAAATTGGAAGTGTAAAACCGTAAACACCAAATTTTCACTTGAAATATACTAATTTCGAGTGTACTTTTCTTAGAAACCATTTGAGTTAGAAATATGTTGTATTCCGAGACATATAGTGAAATTTGGTGTAGAATATTTCTTATTTTGACACTTTTGGTCTGAAATGAACTTTTATGTTACTTTCATGCATCTACTCGAAAAAGGCCGCAGAAAAGTCGATAAAAAATTTAACACATGTTTCTGCTTTTTTGGGAACATTGATTCGAATATTTTCTTGATATATAGTGAAAATTCAGATTTCTTTTCTTTGGCGACTTATAGCGAAATTAGATCTAGAATAATTCTTCCTTTGACCATTTTTCTCAAAAATGGCGCAATAAGGAAAATTTGGTATTAGAACTGAGACGTGTCAAATTGGAAGTGAAAAGACGATGGACACATAAACTGTGAGATGGAAAAACTGCAACCAACTTCAAACTGCTGTAATTTCTAAGCTACTCCTCCGCAAGCTGTTAAAATCATTCCAGTTACAGCTCATTATATTGTTTACAAGCGTACAAAAGCATTTTGGTGAGAATTTTCCAGAAAAAAAGTTATTCGTGATGGAATTCAAGCGTGATTTCTTTGTATTTGGCTGGAAAAACACAAGTGGCTATCCTTAGAGCACTCCAGCATTTAAATGTGAATAAATCGTTTGTGTTTCGTATCATCGCTCGTTACCGTGATACTGGTGGCGTAGACCCACCGTCAAGGAAGTGGACGGAAAAAAACAGCAACAACAGCAGAAATGGTTCGAAAAGTAAAAAAAACGACTTGATCGAAACCCTTGTCGCAGTGGCCGAAAAATGCCTCGTGAGCTGAACATATCGCAATATTTCATTCGGCAAGTATTGAAAAATGAGTTCGTGGTAAAGCTATTAAAATTCCAAAAAGTACAAGAACTAACACCGCAACAGAAAGAAAATAGACTCAAAAGAGCCAAAGAGTTGCTTCGCTTGGCCGAAAGTGGTGGAGGTGAAGTGCCGAGCTTGGTTTTTTCCGATGAGAAAACATTCATTGTCCAGCAGCAGTTTGTAAACAAACAAAATGATCCGCTCGTGTTTACCTGCCAAAGTGGTCAGCTGAAAATGTGCACCTTCGGTTGGCCACCAGAACTCAAGCGCCGGCCATGGTGATGGTGATGGTGTGGGCCGCCATGGTCGCTCTTCGCTCGTATTAATCGACCGTGGTAGCATCAGAATAAGTGCCGAATATTATCGCAAAAATATTTTGGAGGGTGTTGTTTTATGTGAGCAGCTACCTTGCGGTCTATCTCACAGTGGTCTTAGCACCGGGTGAATACAATGCGTCAACGAACGCCCCCACAAAACCCATGGTGATGGTGGGCCGCCATAACAGCGACCATCGGCGCTCTCCGTTCGTATAAATCGACTGTGGCATCAGAATAAATGCCGAATATTATCGCCAAAATATTCTGGAGGGTGTATTATAGCCTTGGGCACGCAAACATTTTAGCCACAGACCTCGGACATTCCAACAGGACTCGCCACCCAAGAATGGTTACAAAATGAGGTTCCTCGCTCCATTTCCAGCGCACAATGGCCACCAAAATCTCCGGATACCAATCCGTTGGACTATTGTGTCTGGAGTATTTTGGAAAGCAAGGTTGGCACTAATAAATGTCAAAATATCGATCACCTCAAGCAAGCGCTTCGCCGGTAATGGGCCAAAATACCGCAGAGCAACATTCGGGCAACATGTGACGGTTTCATTGGCCGGTAAAAGGCCATAATTCGTGCCAAAGGTGACCAATTCGAACAAATCTAAACTTATTCTAAATTTTAACTAAAAATGCCAAAGTGTCGATCATCTCAAGCAAGCGCTTCGCCTTAAGCAAGCACCTCGCCAAAATACCGCAGAGCAACATTCGGGCAACATGTGATGGTTTCATTGGCCGTTTGAAGGCCATAATTCGTGCCAAAGGTGACCAATTCGAACAAATCTAAACTTATTCTTAAAGTTGATCCTATTTCCGACATTTTTTGCTTTCAATTAACAAAATTTAAAAAAAAATGTAAAAATTATGGCCTTTAATTTTGTTGTAGTTTTTTTTTATCTCACCCTGTAAATGAGGTATTTTTCAATCGAAGAACTAAATGTCTTTTTCCCTTGCAGAATAGCCTGTGCTGTCTCTATTTCGAAATCCTGTTGGGATAGTTTTTCCTTGCAGTATAGCCTGGACTTTCTCTATTTCGAACCATTTTGAGAAATTGTGGAAGGATAATAGAGGAATTTTATAAAACACAAAAATTAAAAAAAAAATAATAAAAATAACGAGAAAATAGCCTTAGAGGCACGTGGGATTATATAACCTCCATAGCCTCAAAAAATATAGGCATTTGTGTCAAAAGATCCTTCCCTGCTCCGGAAGCTATTTATTCTGCCAAAATTTAATTTTCAATATTTTTTTGGTATTTTAAGAAGCTTTTTTGACATTCTTTCCCAATTTCTCAAGATTTCAGCCTGTCATTGCCTTGAATCTAATATCCTTTTTTCCCTCACCACGCAGCCAAAAAACTAACATCAAAAATCGATATTTTTTTTCTTGTATTGAAAATTGAGTTTTTCTGCTGCCTTTACTTACGTATTTGGAATGTTGCGCATCGAACGATGACGAAAGAATATTATCACTAATGTGCCATTTCCCAAAACACCAACAATGAAGATGAGCGTAAAAAGTATGGCAACGAAAACCGTTTCGGGACGCTGGATGGAGGGCACAAAGCCATTGGCAGAGTCATTGGCAAAGCCATCATTGCCTAGCAGGGCGATGCGGGTAACATTGTCGGCCAGGGAGTTGGTGGAGGGGATACCATTGCGATTTATGCCACTACTGCTGCTGCTGATGCCGTTGGCTGTTGTTGTTGTCGTTGTGGTGGTTGTCGAGACGGCTCCGAGAGCTATGGCCGCCGCCGCAGTGGGTGAAATAACATCGATTGCTGACAGCGATGGCGAAGACATCATATAGGCCGGTAACGGGTTGCCAATAAAAGTTAACGGAAACATGTTTTCGAAAAATGCTGATGACGACAAAGACGATAATGGTGTTGTGGTTGTTGTTGTTTGTGGGTTTTCTTGCTTTTCCTTTTGTGTGTAGGGGCTAACACACATAAGCCATTTAACATTGGCGGCCACCACCTTCCGCAGGATGTAATAATTCTTTCTCCCCCCCAAAAAAAAAGGATGAGCCAATATTTTTTTCTTTTCCTGACGAATGTTTTGAATGATTACTGAGAGACTTATGCTTCACGAGGTGTAGAGGGGTGGGGGGTGTGGTTCTTTGACTTTGTTTTTGTTTTAATGTAGACCTGTTTTATGGCATCAATGAACGGCTTTTTTTTATTGGCAAACGTGTCTGTGTTAGTGTTTTTCTGTTATTGTTGTTTTTGTTTTAGTCCTGCCAGCAACAACATGTCCTTCTAATGTGTTGTGGTTTTATTCCATTGATGATGGGTTTTATGTCGACACCAGAAGCTGCCAACTTGGCCCAGCAGCAATCCTTTTGGTTGCTATTTATGTACCTAAGAAAAAAAAAATGGGGAAAAAAGAAAAATGGAAAAGAAAACGAACCGATGAGAAATGTTGGGATAATAATGTTCCTCTTCATCACATATAAATAATTTCAATTAATTTGATAACACACGTCGAGAGGCTCTCTCTCGTTCTCTTTTTCTCCATTTGTCTTATCAATCAAGAGAGAGGGAAAGATGAATGTGCAAAACTGCCTGCACTCATTGCCTGAGGATATGCAGTGGATTTTGTTTTTTTTTTTTATTGCTATTTGTATGTATTTACGGGCCATGTATCTTCTGTGTAATGCCTAAGTGTTCCATACGCAATTTTTGAACTTTTTGAGATACATATGGTTTTTAAGGTTTTCCGGTGTGCTCTTTCAGAATTTTTGGTCGGTTTTTCGATATCTCCTCTAGTTTTCGAAATAACAACATAAAGTTGGTAAATTTAGAGGAATTTCCAGTAAATAATTAATACTTTATTGTAGTAACTAAATAAGAATTGATTTCAAAAATCAGAATATTAGTTTTTGACATAGAAATTAAGAATTCATAATCTCAAAATATGAAAAAGAGTTTGTACATGTGTCGCGTTCTATTCACAATTGCTCTTTTCCAGTACCTGCATGAATCTATAAGTTTTTTCAATTTTTTCTATATCATAAATGGCGTAATGGGGCACTTAAGTACAACACCAATGTTTTGTGGCCATCTATGTTTGCCTACACAGATGTATAACAAATAGCCTTTTTTAATTTCTACTTATCTCAGCTGGATCATAAAAGCCATAGAAATTTAAAGTCGTTTAAAGAAAGTTTTTAAAATAAAAATTATAGGAGCAATGGAGTGGATAAAAAAAAGACAAGCAGAAAAGCAGTAAGTTCGGCCGGGCCGAAATTTGAATACCCTCCAACATTCAAAACGAATATGGAAATTTACAAAAAAGAAAAAAAATAAAGATTCTGTTAAAATCAATAAAATACCGAATATAGGGTCTATACGAAGACGTGGACCTGCATAGGCAACTTTTGTCATAAGCCATTACAATATTCAAATATGAAACTTGAAAACAAATAAAATCATCCAAATACACAATATAGGGAGGTACCGTTATATTGGGGCTATACGAAGACCTGGACCTGCATAGACGATTTTCTGTCACAGGCTGTTGTACCTACTAGGAACTTCAAATACGAAATTTTAAACAATTTCGGTGAATATTGCACATAAAATCGTCAAAATACCGAATATAGGGAGGTACTGATATATGGGGGCTATACGAAGACCTGGACCTGCATAGACAATTTTCTGTCATAGACTGTAGTTCCCATTACGAACTCTAAATACAAAATTTGAAACCACTCCGGGGAATAACGTAGCTAAAGTCATGAAAATACCAAATATTGGGAGGTACTGTTAGATGGAGGCTATACGAAGACGTGGGTCTGCATACGCAGTTTTTTGTCCTAGGCTGTAGTACCCATTATGAACTCTAAATACGAAATTTGAAACAACTCCGGTGAAAAATGTCCCCAAAATCGTCAAAATATCGAATATTGAGGGGGTACCGTTGCATGTGGGATACACGATGTCGTGGTCCTATATAAAGATTTATCTTCCAGGGGGTAAAGTGCTTAGCAAGAATTTGTAGTATGGATTTTTATATAATTCCATTTAAAAATGTAGCCAAAATCATCAAAATATCGAATATCGAGGGGGTACCGTTGTATGTGGGCTATACGATATCGTGGACCTATACAATACTCCTCCAGGTGGTAATATAAAGTAGAAGGATCTCCTTTTGTGGATTTTCAGAATATTAGAAAAACTGGCTATTGTCATCAAAATACCCAATATCGTGGGTTACCGTATATAGGAACTATACGATATCGTGGATCGATATAGCCCATCATTGTAACTCATCGAAATACAAACGGAAGGACGAACTTAATATACCCTCCATTCTATGTATATTGGGAGATGTAAAAATTATCCTGCGAGCGTATGATTAACAACAACATGTATACGCACCAGAGGCCTATAATTTTATGAGAGACAAAGAATAGAAATACAAAAGATTGTCGTATAAACAAACAATAAAAAGAATGCTGAATAGAATAGAATAATCCAGCCATTATTATTTTTTCCAAAGTCATATACTGGGTGGGTATTGAGGGCTATTAGGTAGCGGTCCTTACTTAAAACATTTTGCAACATAGAATTTTTTTCACTCCAGGTTTGTACGTAAAGAAAAGTAAGTTTTGTGAATTTCTAGATTTAACTTCTAAGTAAATTTTAAGTTTACTTGGACTCTGCCTTGCTACAGTCACATATTTTTACATCAATTCTAAAGAATATATGGACTAAAATTTATTCTCTTCTATAATTTACTTATCATAGCTGGACCACATAAGACATAGAAATTCAAAGCCGTTTAAATTAGGTTTTCACACTAAAAATTATGGAAACAATAGAGTTAACATAAAAATGGCCATGTGAGCGTATGATTGACAACACCATGTATACGCACCAGAGGCCTAGAATGTTATGACTCACAAAGAGAACAGAAAGAGAAAGACTATCGTGTGAACAAAAAATAATAAAAGTAATGAATGGAATAATCCAAATTTCCAAAGTCAACTATTGGGTATTGACGACTAGGAAGGAGGGGGTCCTTACTTAAAAATACAAATAACCCATATAAATTTAAAGTCGTTTAAAGCATCGTTTACAATAAAAATTATGGAAACATAGGAGTGAATAAACATAAAAATGGCCATGCGAGCGTATGATTGACAACAACATGTATACGCATCAGAGGCCTATATTCTTAAGAGTAGAAATACAAAAGACTATTGTATGAATAATAGAATAGGAAAAAGTGCTGAATAGAATAATCAAGACATTATCCTATTTTCCAAAGTCGTACGCTGGGCTTTCGGCCAGGATGGGGAGGGCTATAGAAAATGGAATGGTTACAGAAATGAAAATTAAGTTTTGCACTTATGTTCCGTCTTTCAAAACTCACATATCGTTACAGCGATATTTATACCCTACAACACTATGTGTTGGGGGTATTATAAGTTTGATTGGGCCAAAAATTATGTAACACGTCGAAATATTAGTTTCCATATAGGAAAGTATATATGGATCTTCCTATCTTGCCGAGTTGATTCGATCTGTATGTCCGTCCGTCCGTCTGTCTTTCCGTCTGTCCATGTTAGTTTGTAATCAAGCTACAGGTTACGAAATTGAAAATGGAGGTGGGGTTATGGTCAGAATAGAACCCTATTGTTTTTGGAGAAGATTGCACAATATTTAAGGGTTGAAATGGACCAAAAAAATGGAAATTATTCCTGATTTTGCAGTTGCTCTATAGGCCACAAATTTGAACCAATCGCCATGGAGTTAGAGTTTAGGAGTGGATAGATACCTACCAATTTGGGCGGCCATCAGACAATAATTAGCGGGTAAAATAGACCCTAACTCTTACGTAAGAAAATAGGAAAATGTCCACTAAATCGCGAATATTTTCAATCCCAGCCACATCAGAAATACATTAAAAGATCACTTCTGACCATTACAGTGATGCTATAGCCAAGAAATCGGATTTATAGCAAAATAGGTGCAATATATATGTAAAAGAATTGATCTTATTTATTCTGCTTATCAATCAAGAACCGCTGGGCGGATTTTCACAATTCCCATCAATTCGGAAAACGATAAAATCTAAGAAAATCGCGGAAAAATAAACCAATAGAAAAGTGAATATGTTTTGTCGATATTTTTTCAATTTTTGTCACGTAAACGATAAAAATTTCGCGTGCGATTTTTCCAATTTGACTTACAACTTTGAATTGCAATTTCTCAAAATGTTTACGCCCCCAACACTAATTTTTGCAGATATTATATGCATATCGCAATTATCGTCCGATCCTCACGAAATTTTGCATGTGATAGGGTTGGGGTCAGAATTAAAGCCTAAGCCTTAGAGGTGCAAATGGACTAAAAAAATTATTTTTTCTAATTTTGTAGTCGATCTATAGGCTACAATTGAAAACTAATCGACACGGAATTCATCATCGCATCAGAAGAGAGTTAAGGACAGGGAAGAAGTCTAGAATTTTGGATGACCATTGGATAATATCTAGCTGAATGTAAAATAATAAAAAGTAATCTCATATCATCTGTTATCTTTAAAAAATGGCCTTTTACCAGATGTCGTTCGTAATTTGAGTAGCTCCTGTTCAAGAGACTCAATTCTTTCAAACACACACAAAATTTAATTTTTTTATAAATTTATAAATAATTTAGTAATTTAAAGAAGGTATAAAAAGGACAAACGTTCCAAGCCGATTGCAAAAAAAAAATCTTTCCTCGAAATCGATTAACTTTTTTGACGCTGATTACATTTTTTTGCCCGACATCTCTCGGATGTGAGAACATACTATAACTTTGTCATCTATATATTCCTTAGTCTATAGTGAAGCTTCAATAATTTTAAACGAATTTCAAAATTCGAGATTTGAATTCTGCAACACCCCTTTGAAACAGTTTTTGAGCTACGCCCCTGTTTTGGCATTAACTCTTTCCTGCTCATTGTTGTTATTCATGTAGCCAATATTATTTCATTCCTTTTCACAGACAAGTCTGTCTTGTCTTGCAGAATATAGATATATGATACAAAAGATATAAAAGTAGAACAGCAACAAAAAAAGGCTTTAGCTTTAAGTTATCTCCATGGCAACACAGAAACCATAGAAAGTTAACAGCCATCAACTATTTGTTAACTAAAAACTCTGGATTTTATTATTTCTTTAAGTGGGGAGAAAAATATTTTTTCTTTTCTTTTACAGTTTTTTCTTGGAAATGCAAAATAATTAAGTGGTTGATGTGGTTAAGAGAAATAAATGTTTGCATTTAGAAAAAATATTCTTCAATAAATACGAAAAACAAAAAAAGTTAATAAAGAAATTTTAAAGATAGCCTTGGGGCGT